TGTTCCAATTTGTCTTTTGGAGCCTAACAGCAGACATTGTCAGCGAGAGAGAGCGGGCAATATGTTGACACTCACAACATTGGTATCAATGGAAAGTAGGTCCTCAAAACCAGCTTCGTTGAGGATAGCGTGAACGTCCCATGTGTACGCGTTTTTGTTTTCGCAAGCAGTGACTAGCACCTTTCCGTCAGCGGAAAGGGTTGCGGAGTGTAAAACCTCTTCGTGCTGGAGGGATGGTCCGACTGGGAGGTTGGTGTCGAGATTCCATAGATGCGCTGTTGAATCGATTGATGCACTTGCAAGGAGGCGGTTGTTTCGAGACAAGGTGATGGCGTAGACAAGGTTGGTATGACCTTCGAGGATGGCAATCTGCTGCCAAGTGGCAGTGCTGAATATCCTAATCAGGCCGTATGACCCGGAGAAAAGCTTGTTTCCGTCCGACGACCATGCCAAGCTGCGAACTTCATTATCGTGTTTGAGTGCGTTGAGAAGCTTGCCCGTCTTCGCATCCCAGATTTTTGCCGCATGCTCTTTGTTTCCACCTGTCACAATTTTTGTTGAGTCAGGCGAGTACATCACCGCACACACCAAACCATGTCCGGTTTTTGATTTCAGGACAGTTTTTGCCGCTGTCGACATCCCAAACTCTTGCCGTCCCATCCCAGGATCCACTCACTACTCGCTCACCATCTGCACTCACAGCACAATGTGCACACAACACCGGTGTGTCTTGTCCATTTGGCAATGACCTTCCTCGTCTCGACGTCCCACAACCTCACTTTCCAGTCATTGCTTCCGCTTGCAATCATCTTCCCGTTTGGAGACATGCCATGGATCGCAATCCTACGTTATTCTCATGTCGCCAGTCCTCGCCTATCTGTGTGCCGCTCTCTAGGTCCCATAGTCGGAGTGAGCCGTCCGACGAACATGTCCTAATGTGTCGGCTGCCAGGTAAGTGCACACCACCGTTTACCCAGTCGGTATGACCTTGCATCGTGTGGCGTGGGCGTGATTACTGGCGTCTTACTGGTGGAGGAAGACATGCTCCGCGCTCGGCAATCTCAAACTATGCCAAGTCGTGGCCTGTGTATACGAGAAGTCTACCGGGATCTTTGAAATCAGACCAATTATATGGCAACGAAAATGGCTTCTGGTGAGTCGAGGGGCCTATATTTTATTTTATTTTCATTTGATAGTTGTAAGAACCGCACACGCCATTACGCACGAGACAAGTCTGTACAGATTCACTATCCAATCCTCTCCCACAAGACAGCTTTTGGACGACGACGTATTCAGGTGCTGTTAGATTCGATGATGTGCAACAGATCCTTTTGGGTATCCGAGGTCGCTGGTAAGCAAGTCGTCAGCTTCAACCGACAGAGGAGCCTAGAGTATCACTCACAGGAAACACCTTTCAGACAAGCCTGGTGCGTAATCACTGGATATCAAACGAGTGTCTGGTTGGGAGTTGAGGAAGTTGGGCAATTCGTTTCGTTCATGGCGTTTTTAAGGCTGTGTCTCATGTGTCCATCCTCATGTTTGCTTTACAGCTTCATTGCTTGTGTAGACGAAGCGCTCATATCTGCGACCAGCGCTATGTGCTGTGCATCTTCCCATACGTAATAAAGGACTATGTTGATGACCTACAACGATCATTCGACAGTGTCCCGCGCTCCCCTCTCCACTCCGCACATTTCTTCCAGCCCATATTCGAACTCGATGCGGTCAAGATGTATATAGGCTGCGCAGGATGCTAACAGTATTAGTACCCAGGATGGAGTTGTCGTCACCCAAAGATGTCATGGTGAATATCGATACTCCACGAATACATTTCTTCACCGCCTCAGGATATGAACTTGCCTCTGTTCAGATTTACGAGCGAAATTGAAGGAATCCGAAATGAAAGCTGCCGTCTGCATGATCTCTCGGTTGAGTTTTTCGACCAGTCTGATGTGACTTCCGCTTTTAAGAGCGTATCGGCTTTGTTCGGCAATCCCTGTGCACCCTGCTACTAGCTTCTGTATGGAGTCGTTAAGGATGGTTTGATCGTTGAACTTGGTCTGTAGGGCTGCAGCTTCATTCCTCATGGCCATCTTCTTAGTATCGCACCAGCAATTGCTGTTGGTATGAGCCGAGATCTGGCTGCAGTTTTTGAACCCCATCTTCAAGCTTGGAGCGTCCTTGCTGGATCTTTTATTTCTAGCTTTGCTCCTGTGGTCACCTGGCCTGGATTTCATTGGCCTCCCTTGCTGGCTTGTTTCAGTGTGTTCATAAGCCGCATAGTTTCTGGTATGCTCTTCTCTTGAACCGAACCTCGCTGCTCCAGCTCAAGTTTCTTCAGCTTGTCATCTAGTGACATGTGCTTCCTCTTCTCGTCCTCCTATTTCCTCTTCCACTTAAGTGATTGTTCTTCCGCCCAATTTCAAGAAAGAAACATGGAGATAAGTTGGCATTGAGAGCTATGGCTACATTGGAGCCTTCAGATGGTAATAACACATAGGTTAACATGTTCGTGGTCATTTTGGTTGCAAAGTGACGAATGTTCACCCTATATTGAAGGATTATGCTATGTGGTAGAAGCATGTTCATTTCTGCCTCATGTCCTGTACGACGTCCATTATGGCCACTCGGAGGCACTTCGTGGTGGCATTCCACATCGCAGGTCACACTGCGGACCGCGCAATAGGCAGGTATGTAGTCATTTTATTTGTCTTCGCATTAAGGTCCCTCGTTTATCCTGTGGTCAGTCATATTCTGTCACAGCGGCAGTAGAGACACGAGTCCTCATACAAAATGATGTCGATGATTCAGATACGCCACATCATTACTGTCTGGTTCCTTTGTGTCCCCGTGTGCTTTCGTGGTTTGTTGAGCTATTAATGGAGGCGAGGACAAGTCCAAACTTTAGTTTGAGCTCTTAAGGATCACCATGTGTGGTGAAATACAATATGTCAATTTCAATCGCAATTAATAATGACAGCGGCGGATTTTGCTTCGGATAGACGGGGTCGCTCGCATAAGAACGAGTGCTTCCGTTGAGATGGGATATTGTCGATGTGCGGTGCAATGCAGGCATGTAAATCATGATAGTATGTACGTACTGCGCTGGCGGTCTGCTTCGATGAATTTAAACTTGAGTGGCTCGATGACCCCGTGAATGTGCGTTGAGATGTAACTTGATGCTAAACGACTGATAGCAGCGTTTTGCTGATATTGTGTCTACTGCCAGGATGATGATTTGGTTACGGCTGTCGCTGAGTGTTGGTGTTGAATACGAGCATTTTTGGGGGTCGAGAGCTGCGGTAGTGCTGTGGGGATGGATGGGGAACTGTATATCAATGTAAGCTAGACTTCTGGAGACTTGGTTGAAGATAGGTTGACACTCACGTGACGGTCAACTGTCATTGAACGCGTGGGCGTGAGTGTTTTATTATTGATCTGGGTTTTCATATACATAGTCCGCTGGACTCACTATGAATTCACCTTCTTCGCGAGCTCGAGTACGTCTAGGGTGTATCATGGGTCGACCCGGGTCATACCCGCACCCAACCCGCGGGTACCAAAAATTTTAGAGGCCTACCCGTACCCACGCGGGTAAGAGCATCGCGGGTACGGGTCCCGCCATGTGCCGTGTATGTACTACCTAGGCTTGAATTTCTGTTTCACAAAGTATTTGAAACATCATCCCCATAGCATGCACAATATTGATGGCGGTGACTTTTCTTTCTGCGTCATTTTCAGTGGTTTGCAAATTGGCAATATTATTTGCACTATGAGTTTTATGCCTTAGCCTTGTGCTATACGTCTGATAAAAGCCAAGTATGACCTATCGGATGAGGGTAGCAAGGTTCGCAAACCTTGGTATGCCACTTTCGCTGTCGATTGACCATGCCCAGTGCCCACCTCTGCAGTACAGGCTCTTTTAGTCTCAGCGCTTAGTGAAATCATACAAGCGTCTGCTATGGCATCGTGCCGAACAGCCCTTTGAGTAACAGCATGGGAAATACACGTGCAGAATGACCTGAACGTTAACCCTCAACCTCTTCTCTCCCTCTCACCTGAACTTGAATCATAGTCCCCATATCCCCACTCCCCATCTTCTCCTTCAGCCCCTCTTACCTGAATTTTACCCCACAGTTCCCATATCTCTACCCCCTGTCCTCTCCTACCACTTATTCTGTACATCACTCAATCTCCAATGCTCCGTGTCGTTCGGCGTTTGTTTTCATCCTGCCATTACGCCTAGAAGCTGGGAAGGCCAATCTATCAGACTTGAAGGTAGGTCACTCCGTATCATCTTAGTGTTTGGTGTGGTTATCTCGTTCACTTACAGTCGTCAGCGGTAAAAATGTCAAAGTCCCTTCCAAGCGCATTCCCGCAGGCATTTACATGTCCCTCAATGTTGATCCCAGGAGACCATGGAAATCAACCACCGGAGTCCTGTCATCAGACGAATCTGTGGCGTGGGGCGAGACCGTGACCCTGTAAAGTCCCATGGAGACTTTCAAACGCGATTTGAGGACTGATCTTCTATTTGTAGAACGCTCGACGCATCACCCAAATTAACACTGGTCCTGTGGGCATCCTTCGAGCTCGATCGAATGCTAGGCAATGGGGAAGTCATTGGAAAACTAGAAATATCATGGGATGAGCTACTTGATCGTGGAAGTGAAACCCTTCGGTGAGTAACCTACTTCCATTCATGCACATATACTAACATCTGGCAGTTCTGTCCTTCCCACGCGTTCGTGGTTGTCCGCCCTTCCCTCACACTAAAGGCCACTGTTTTGCATGCTCGCGACAGTCAGGATGGTTGTATCGTTTGATGTGAGTCGTGCCGGCCTTTGCCTTTGTTGTTGTTGGGCTTTTTGCTGACCAAACGTTAATTGCAGTTCATTGTCGACTGCGAGATTGCTCGAGACACAGATGCAGGCCACGCAAAACTCACCGAATATGTGACACGCACATTGAAGTGGATCTCTTACCTGAACGACGCTGTAGAGCATTTTTCAGTTGGTTCTGGACCAGTGTCCAGTCAGCCATCCTGACTATGCAGCAGCTCTCACCAACCTCGCATGGGCCCGTCTTCGAGGCTATATTCAAAACGATCTTCAAGACATCAACTCTATCACTTCTCTCTTCCGCGAAGCCCTTGCGTTGCGTCCGCAAGGGCCACCTCGATCATCCATTATCTATCTATCACCTCACTGAAGCGCTGACCTGGCGCTACCGCATGGAGCACACTGCTGTCTATATCCACGAGTCCACACAACTGTCCTGCGAGCTATTGAACCTCTGTCCAGAGGGCACCTACCTTCGTAGCATCGCGACAGGGGCAGATGGCGTCGATTATGTGATCCGCGAATGCAACAATCTTCCAACTGACGCATCGGATGAAGGCATCTACCTTCGACGAGTCGTGCTCGAACTCTGTCCTCTGGAAACGAACACCGTCCCACAGCCCTTCACGAGCTTGCACAGGCAGTAGAACGACGCTTCCAACAACGCGGTAGTATTGATGATCTAGACGAGTGCATACAATGTCGTCGTGAAGCCGTTTCACTGTTCCCAGAGGAACATTCTGAACGCGAGACCTACCTGAATAACTTGGCCTTGTCACTCAAATTCCGCTTCGATTACCAAGGCAACTCTCATGACCTCAATGAGGCCATCTCTTTGCACGAAGAAGCTCTGCGCCCACGCCCTGTTGGGTACAAAATTCGTGATTTCTCGTTGGACAACTTAGGAGCTGCCCTCCTCGCCCGTTTCTACCAATGCAGTGATGTTAACGACATCGTCAGATCCATGAGCCTCCGGCGTGAGGCGCTGACGTTGCGCCCACCTGGGACTCCATATCGTGACTCCACGCTTAACAACCTTGCTAACGTGCTGCGAGCCAGATATGTCGAATTGGATACTAGCGAGGATCTCAACGAGTCCATCGACCTCTTCCGGGATTCACTTCACTTAAGGCAGTATGGCCATCCACTACGCCATACAACTCTTTCCAATTTGAGCTCGGTGCTTTGTTCTCGTTTCATGAAAACTCAGAAGAATGAAGACATCGAGGAGGCCATTCGCCTGTGCCAAGAGTCGTTGGAGGCTTTGCCTTCACTGCACCCAGACAGATTTTTCAGCTACGTGTGGTTGCGGGTAGCCTATTTGTCTCGTTACAGAGTGCAATACAACCTCGCCGATTTGTCGCTCGCCATAGATAACTTCAGACTGGCGTCAAGACACCCTACTCAGGGCTTTCCATACCGCATTTTAACAGCCCAGGAATGGGTCACCGCATCAGAGAGACACAGTCATACATCTGCATTGGAAGCCTACAAAACCTTTTTCGAGCTTCTTGGCAGACATTTGGCAACACGGTCTTCGATTGTTGCACGGCGCGAAACTACTTCTGCTTTTCGTCATACCAGAACATTGCCTGTGGATGCGGCAGCATGTGCCATGCGCCTTGACAATCTACGAGACGCAATTGAACTTGTTGAGCAGGGCCGTGGCCAGCAATGGTCCCTGGCCTCTCGCTTGAGAAGTCCACTCGAAGACCTCGAGTCGATCAATGCCAACTTTGCTCACAAGTTCTCGGAGCTCAACAAACGTCTTTCTGACGCTCAAGTTTCCACAGTCAGCACAGACCGAGCTGCTGCTGATCGGGCAGCAATGCAGTACAGGAGACTTACAGAGCAGTGGGGAGCTGCGGTAGATGAAATCCGTACTCTTAAAGGTTTCTCGCGGTTCCTACTCCCTCCTTCATATGAAGACTTGCGAGCGGCAGCACGTCATGGCCCAGTCATCGTCCTTATTGCGAGTCAATACTCATGCAGCGCCATCATTGTTCCGACGGCAGGAGACCCCCACCACGTTAGCTTCCCGCGCATCACTCTCACACATCTGGAGAAGCTCAAGAATGACTTTGTCAGGGAGATACGAGTTGCATCTTTTATGCGCCCAGAGGAGACGAGGAAGGAATTGCAAGTCCTCTTGCAGACGGTATGGGACGATATCATGCTGTCCATCGTCATCGTTCTCCAGCGCGATCTCAAAGTAAAGAGCGGCTTTCGAATCTGGCTGTGTCCAACTGCAACCTTCACTTCCATTCCTCTCCACGCAGCTCACCCCTTTCAAAAGAAGGCAGACGGACGTGGGCGGGAACTATGCCTGGAGGATGTGTACATTTGTTCTTACACGCCGACGCTTTCGGCTCTAATCAGATCTAGGCAGATGATGAAGACAAGTGTCGCTCCGTCCTTCGCTGCAATCGGACAAAGTGAACCGGGCGCAGGGCAAGGCAAGGCGCTCTTTACTATCGACAGCGAGCTTGAGCTCGTCCGCAAACTCGTCCCCACGGCAGCCAACCCCACCATACTCTCCGGCGATGACGCCACGCGAGCAGGCGCACTCGATGCTTTGCAACGCAACACCTGGGTGCACCTCGCTTGTCATGGGAAGCAGGACCGCGAGCAGCCTTACTATTCACGTTTCGCCATGAGAGACCAACCTCTGACGTTGCTCGATATCATGGAGAAAGACATTCCTCACGCTGAGTTCTCATTCTTGTCGGCGTGTCATACCGCTGTTGGCGATGAGAAGACACCCGACGAAGTCATTCACCTTGCAGCCGGACTCCAATTTTCCGGGTTCAAGAGTGTCATTGGCACGCTGTGGGTGGTCGATGACGCTG